TGTTGCCTTGTTTTCACTGTAAATAAATTCACCATCACTTCGCAAGGACTCTCGGACCTGAGTCCTCTAATTCCATCCACCATGACAGTTGTAGTGACTTTACTCCTTTCAGTGCCACTTTAAGCTTTTAAAAACTTTACTTTTAGGTTAGTTTGAATAAGTTTCAGTGGGAAGTTTAGTCTTTTGTGTGTTATTATTGGAGTATTTAGAGTAAGAAAAGGCTTTTAACACTAAATGAGTGACAAACACAGGTTTATCACTGAGTAAGGCCCCAGTCACACAGGCCGAGAGAGCAGTCCATAACATTTAGCAACCTCTGGGCATGAGGTTTCCCTGACTGGTTGGCAAGTTGTTGCTGGAGGTTGCTGGCAGTCATTGTGAAGTCAGTCCCGAACAGGGTCACTAAAATCTCCTGTGATAGCTTTGTTCACTAGCACACTGTTACAGATTCCTGTAAGTGCATGTGAGACACCAACTGTTCACAGACTGGTATAAAATGTGGAAAAAGTTTGTTGTAAACCAGAAACTGAGAACACTTGCCTTTAATGTAAAAGTTTCAAAAGGGTCAGCTTGTACTTTGAAGGAGAACGGTGTCCATTTGCAGTTTTACTTTTCACAGCTTCACTGCTGCTTGGTGAGCAGTTGGCAAGTGTTTGCAGACAAGTTGGCGTCTTCCATGCAAATGAAAGGTGACTGCAGCATTTGGACTGCCAGCAACCACATTTTTCCTAGTGCTCCTATTTACCAATGGTTATGAGTCTCTCAGACTCTTGAGACAGCATTATACATTTCAAAATAGCAAACAAGTTAATGTCACATGGTTAACAGTCACATGACTGGAAACCTGAATCTTCCCTGATGTGACACCTATTGTTCAGGTGAGAGTAAAAAGGTCATGGAGCTGTGCTGACATCACAGTAAATCTTAGCCATGGAGTTACTCATACCTACCCTCCATATTTTCCATAAATCAAGATATAGCTACTTTTTGACAGCTGGCTAGCTAACCACATGATGTTTTCATGTCAGATGATATTTAAATATTTACTGTTAGTTTAAAAAAGGGAAGGAGTGAAGAAAGGGGAAGATGTCCAGGCAGAGTGCAGGAAGCTACAGAAGAGATGCGTCATCACAGGACAGACGGGATGAAATCATGACATCAAATCTTCTGTTAAAGGACTTTGTTATAAAGTTTGATGCTTTCATTATTCAGCTGTTAAACAGTTTGAACTTCTCAAATATTTTAAATATTTCAGGTTTAGTGTTTGTTTTAATATGAAGTCGGGTAGTAAATCATCATCAGCGCACATCTGAGGTGAAACTCATCAGTCATTAACTCGACTTCACACTTTAGTGGCCAGAGAAGGTCTGAGGTCATAAACCTGTGAAAGAAGCACACGTGAAGGCTGAGTGCAGTTTGTAATAAATGACAGTTTATTATAAAGATTACAATCTGTTGCGTTGCAGAGCTCATCAGTTGTCATCGTGTGCTCTTCGGTTTTTAGAAAAGGGAAGAAAAAACTACAAGTACACGCACACCACTCACTCCAGAAGAAACTACAAACATACTGTAAAAAGAGGAAGCTAGAAAGGGGGGGGGGGGGAACCATAAACTTATAAGCAGGTGGAGATTTAAGAGGAGGGGGAGGAGGGTTTCACACGCAGGTTAGAAAGCCAGGATTCTCAGCCAATCAGCAGGAAGCTGTAGATTATTTTCCAGTTTTCCATTTTGGCTCATTCTTTCAGATTTATCCTGCTTCTATTGATCAATTATCACTTTATCACACAGATTTGGAAGAATCTGGAAGTTTTTAAGTTATCGCTTCAACGTTTATCTGCAGCACCCCCTGCTGGGTGGCCTCTGGTTTCTACAGTTGTCTAACCCTAAGCAAAAGAAATTCTGTTCTCAACCAACTTTTAACCAACAAATATGTGAAGTGAACATTTATAAATGATGGCTTTCTATTCCCTTCTGTTTTTGGACTGTAAAATCTCTAAATAAAAACTTCTCATTTTTTTAAACACAAAAATGTAAAAATCTGAACTCTTGAGTTTCCTTACTCTGCCGTGGGCGTGAACGTTACTGAACTTTGTGTATTTTCTGACACTTCATGGACATGAACGCTGGTAAAAGAGACATGACCATCCCCAGCTACCGAACATCGAGGAACATAAATAATAAATATTAGAGGTTTAAACCACGGCTGAGGAGCTATGGTTTGATTTATATCCTCATTTTTCTCTTAGAGGAATTATTAAAAATCTTTTCATCACAGTCCTGATTATAACAGTCAAATATAAATGACATTGTTCTGATAGGTTTACAGCTCATATTTAACCCTTGAGTGACCAAGTAGTGCAAAGTGCAAAACTTTTGAGGCACTCACATATACATATGAATATGTGAGTGTCTATAAACCTTTGTCTGGTACTGTATATTAAAAAAATTAACTTGCAGGTATTTTTTAGAGAAATAAACAATCTGAGCTCGTATTAAATAGCACAAAAATCACGAGGCAGCTTTTTTGTGGTTTTCCGATTGACTTATTATCTTTGTAGATGGCCGGAACACGCAAACACAAACTGTAGAACCAAAAATGACCAAAAGTACTTGGACAGGGTTTTATCTTGTAGACTGAATAACACTGTAATCCAGCTCACTTCAGATGTATTTAAAGTTACTGAATGGGATGGTTTATGAGCCCCGCTCTTTATTAACATGTGATTTAAGGATATTTTTTAATTATAAAACTGCTATGCCAATATGAGTGTCAATAAATGGTATTAGTGAGAATTTGTTTTTGAGATTTAACAGACGCGTCTTTATTTATTGCCTAAGTAAAGTAAAAGTCATAGAAATGATAAAACTTTATTTGTATAATTACTGGCTTAATTATGGATAATTAATTATGTTCACACTGTGCGGTCTCAGTCTTTGTTCGGGGACGTCTTAAAACCATTAAAACACACACACAAAAAAAAATTCACATTTTTTCTTAAAAGAGTCCAAATCTAAACAGTTAGTGCAAAGTGGGATTCTGTAACTGAAATATAAGCACACATTACATCTTTGAGGCCGCAGGGACTGTGATTGGCTCTCGATAGCATCAGTTCCTCATACACGTTTCTGACTTTCCATCTGCTTTCAGTCACTTCATGGAAGAAACTCCACCACCAAAACACTAGCTGGTGGTTAAGTAGAGTGATGCGGGGCGCATCACACAAGTATATAAATGTTGTGAATGTTGTCAGTGACCTACGTACTCAGTTGCAGGCTGTGCATGGATTCAATGACTGAGGCCTCACAGGGTTAACTGAAAAAAAATGACTGGAGCTGTTGTAATGACATTAATATATTCAATGGTTTAATGAGGTGGTTCTGAAACCATAATGATGACAGTCAAATGACACGAAGCTGTGTTGAATAAGTAGAATAAGAGTGTGCTGATGCTCGTACGGTAACCTTTACGTAAACGTCTACTTGGATCTATTTTGTTGTTAATAACCAACAAAAAAAAGAAAGTTTGAAAAACAATAGTCTCACTGGGTGAGTAGAAGAATTGGTGCCACCTGCTGTTTAGCCCTACTTA